CTCGTTTCTGATTTTTCAGTAAAGTCGAGTATTTCTCGTAACTACCTGCAGGGACTTTCATTTCCACGCAGAATTAAGACCGCACTTGAAAGCAGAATATCGCAGCGAAGTTTCAGCCTCGCATCTTATCCGATAAGCGAAACAGCTACTTCGCTACAAATATCGTGCCCTAAGTCGTGGCGCAAATGCAATTCGGAACTCAATTTAGATGTATGATTTCCGATGCGGGAGATAAACATGCTGACAAAATTTCAGCCACTGTTTTCTGGCAAGTTTTCGAGTTAGCACAGTACGAAGTAACCACTATATTCTAGTTCACACGCAATTTAAATCAAATCAACACTGACTAGGAGCAAGCGATGCAGTTAAGGTCGAATAAGTTTATGGCATGTTAACATAAAAAAAAAATTTACCAAAGTAACATCTGTAAAATTCCCATCACACCATGTGCCGCACCCAGATAGTGACGACCGTAATAGCGATACATTAGCGGCACGGGGAACCGTCCCGCAGCTGCATAACGTCGACCGGAGTCAATCATTTTGTTCAGAACACCTCTGATGCAGTGGTCAGGAATAATTTTTTTCTTGATATGTTCCCTTAAATGAATTTAACATTTATTTCTACTCGTACGCTGGTACTGGCCGAACTCGCATTTTTTTTTTTGCCCCGAACGCTTGGTATGCAAGTCGATCAGGCATACGGATACCGAGAGAAAAAAAAGATACGAAGCTTGGGAGAACCTGAGGGTGAGCGCGGCAGCCAAGAATCCAGCACGACCGGCCAGCAATTCATCATCTCCTTCACCGGAGACGTCTTTGCTTGCGATCAAATTACCACTTTCGATCAAACGATCAATTGGTTCCTGCTCGTTTCCGCCTTCGTACAGTATGGCAACCACATAAACACTCAACGATCCCAATAAATAGCACGTTTCTCCGTCTGCTTCCTCCTGCAAACATCATTCTGTAAACCACGGACAACACCGGGAATGGCAAGGTGACTCTCTGACCGATTTGATGCTTATGTAAAATATACTGTTCTTAATATAAAATTATGTAATATTTTTTTTTCTTTGTTCTGTTCCCTCTTTTGCCCTATGAATCATAATTCAATTTGCATTCTTTCGTGTTTGCGGCTTTTCTACATTTTCGT